GGGTTGGTCCACCAAGCCTTTATAGGGTAATCTTGGCTTACCTAGGCAAGTCCTCTACAACTGAGCTATACAGTCAACTCCTCAAATGCTTTTGAAGTAGTGCATATGTGGGGAAATCTTAGCATCTTTTTCAAAAGTGTATGTGTCTTAACCTTCTTGATGCCAGATAACCCGTCTGTATGAATTTGAGTCTTTTGAGAGTTCTAAAGTTTGCTTAGAGAAAAAGTGTGGTCTGGTCTATCTCATTCCCTTAGTCTTCTTTTTTTTTTTATGAATTTAGCCATCTCTTTTTTTTATATATTTTATTTATTTATTTTTAATTAATTAATTAATTTATTATGTATACAATGTTCTGTCTGTGTGTATGCCTGCAGGCCAGAAGAGGGCACCAGACCTCATTACAGATGGTTGTGAGCCACCATGTGGTTGCCGGGAATTGAACTCAGGACCTTTGGAAGAGCAGGCAATGCTCTTAACCACTGAGCCATCTCTCCAGCCCCCCTTAGTCTTTATGTATGCTCTTTGGCTGGATGTATGAACCAAATTAATGCAGGGCTAAATAACAAATTAAAAGTATACAGGTTTTATTAATTTTACATATATGAGGGGGCCAAGAAAACTGAAGTCTAAAAGCTGCCCCCGAATATGATGCACCGTTGCTTCTTAGACAGAGGGCAACTGATTTGTGAAGAAATGACGGCCCTAATGGGTCCCTAGAGTAAGACAGCAAAGGCTAGCCATGTCACAGAGAGATGTGAGGTAAGAATGGTGCTCCCCGAAAAGCCACACCTGCAAACAGCTAATTAGTTTTTCCCATTGTGGGGGGTTGGAATGACAGTCACACTTCTCTTGGCTTCCCTTCACTTCCCTAAATAGCCATTTGCCAATCACATATGAATCTGACCTAGCCACCTTTGACTCTTTTGAAGGATTAACTTAGTAGACCACTAGGTTCTGCCAAGCCAAGAGCTGAGAATGCCACCAGACGGCACCTGAACCCCAGAGTAGAGATTTCCCTGCCTGCTATGTGGGAAATGTAAAAGAAACATGCTCTTCTCTATCAAAAGGTAAAATTAGGCAGGGAAGCACCATTACAGAAAGCTGTAAAATTACTATTTGGCCAACAATCCCTCCTGGGTCAGCTTGTTCTTAATTCATAGTATATGCTCATGACTGCATCCTCCTTGTCCACCTCCTAGCTGTAAGTTAGTGCAGCCATTAAGAATGTGAGACTGGGGGCTGTGAAGATCTGAGTGGCCTGCGCTGACACCCAGGGCCATGGTGCCAGCTGGGCCAGGACTGCTGCCGTGGGCCATGTCTGGGTCTGTGGTCCTGCTGCAGCTGGGTCTGTGTTGATATCCGTGGCCCGTGTTACCACAGGGGGCTGTAGGAACCATGCACATGGAAATCCAAGGGCCTTGCTGAGCCTGCCCTGGCCCTCACTAGCCCTGGGACAGCTAGCCCTGCCCCTCTTTAGACACTGCCACAGGAAAAGTAGCCCTCCCTTCAGCACGGGAGTAGGACAGCTGGCCCCAATGGCATGGGCCTAGGAGAGCTGGCTCCACACCCTGCCTGAGGGAGGCAGTCTCCGTGGCCCAGACTGACCAGCTCAGCTACCACCAGGACACACATCCTGGGTCTTGGGTTGACCTACCCGAACCCTAACATCTGTTCCATCTATGACCTGTTGGAGTGTGTGAAGGGCCTGGCCCTATGGAACCTTAGCCACAGGCTCTGGGACCACAGCAGTATATCTAAGGGGAGTTTCGGTGAGGGCCCAGTGATGATGGTGTCCCAGAGGTCTTGAACCAGACCACTGACTCACTGCAATGAACGTTTGTGGGTGGGGCTGATTGGACCAAAGGGTCCACCCTGTGACACGCCACAGTTCCCAATGACACTAGGAACAAAGGAAGAGGTGTTTGAGAGACAAGAAAGATGGAGGAGCGAGGTGGTTTTTGTTTGTTTTGTTTTGTTTTTAATAAATTTAATTAAGGGGGTGTTCCTTTTGGGAGAGAAAATTACTGTGGTGAGGGGCAGATATGGAGGTGAGGGACTGGAGGAAGTGTTTCACTGTGAGAGTAGCCTTTGAGATGTCTTTTGCTCAAGATATGGCCCAGTGTTTCATACCATTTCCTGTTGCCTGCAAGATGTAGGACTCTCACCTGCTTCTCCAGCACCACGTCTGCCTGCATGCTGCCACGTCCCATCATGATGATAATGGCCTGAACCTCTGAACTGTAAATGAACCACCCCAATTAAATGTTTTCCTTTATTTATTGATTTTTATTGAGCTCTACATTTTTTTCTGCTCCCCTCCCTGCTTCTCCCCTCCCCTCCAACACTCTCCCAAAGTCCCCCCCCCATGCTCCCAATTTTCTTAGGAGATCTTGTCTTTTTCTACTTCCCATGTAGATTAGATCTATGTATGTCTCTCTTAGGGTCCTCATTGTTGTCTAGGTTCTCTGGGATTATGGTTTGTAGGCTGGTTTTCTTTGCTTCATGTTTAAAAACCACCTATGAGTGAGTACATGTGATAATTATCTTTCTATGTCTGGGTTACCACACTCAAAATGATGTTTTCTAGCTCCATCCATTTTCCTGCAATATTCAAGATATCGTTATTTTTTTTCTGCTATGCAGTACTCCATTGTGTAAATGTACCACATTCTCCTAATCCATTCTTCTGTCGAAAGTCATTTAGATTGTTTCCAGGTTCTGGCTATGACAGACAATGCTGCTATGAACATAGTTGAACACATGTCCTTGTGGCACGATTGAGCATCCTTTGGATATATACCCAAAAGTGATATTACTGGGTCTTGAGGAGGGTTGTTTCCTAATTTTCTGAGAAATCACCACACTGACATCCAAAGCGGTAGTACCACCTTGTATTCCCACCATCAATGCAGAAGTGTTCCCCTTACCCCACGTTCTCTCCAGCATAAGTTGTCATCAGTGTTTTTGATCTTGGTCATTCTTACAGGTGTAAGATGTAATCTCAGAGCTGTTTTGATTTGTATTTCTCTGATGACTAAGGATGTTGAACATTTCCTTAAGTGTCTTTCAGCCATTTTAGGTTCCTCTGTTGAGAGTTCTCTGTTTAGGTCTGTACTCCATTTTTATTGTATTATTTGTTCTTTTGATGACCAATTTCTAGAGTTCTTTGTATATTTTGGAGATCAACCCTCTGTCTGATGTGGGGTTAGTGAAGATTTTTCCCATTCTGTAGGCTGTCATTTTGTCTTGTTGACTGTGTCCTTTGTTTTACAGAAACTTCTCAGTTTCATGAGGTCCCATTTATTAATTGTTTCTCTCAGTGTCTGTGCTGCTAGGGTTATATTTAGGAAATGGTCTCCTGTGCCAATGCATTCAAGTGTATTTCCCATTTTCTCTTTTATGAAGTTCAGTGTGTCTGGCTTTATGATGAGGTCTTTGATCCATTTGGACTTGAGTTTTGTGCATGGTGATAGATATGGGTCTATTTTCATTCTTCTACATGTTGATATCCAGTTATGCCAGCACCATTTCTTAAATATGATTTCTTTTTACATAAGCAACACAAAAAATTCTACCTAGAAACTTCTACAACTCATAAACACTTTCAGTAATGTAGCAGGAGACAAGATTAACTCAAAAAAAATCAGTAGCCCTCCTGTACACAGATGATTAAAGAGTTGGGAAAGAAACCAGAGAAACATCACCCTTCACAACAGCCACAAATAGCATAAAGTATCTCAGAGTAACTCTAACCAAATAAGTGGAAGACTTGCATGACAAGAACTTTAAATTTTTGAAGATAGAAATTGAAGAAGACACCAGAAAGTGGAAAGATCTCCCATGCTCTTCAGTAGGTAGAATTAACATAGTAAAAATGGCAATCTTACCAAAAGCAATCTACAGATTCAATGCAATGCCCATCAGAATCACAGCAAAATTCTTCACAGACCTTGAAAGAACAGCACTCAACTTCATATGGAAAAGCAAAAAAACACAGGATAGCCAAAACAATCTTGTACAATAAAAACTTCTTGAGGCATCACAATTCCTGACTTCAAACTCTACTACAGAGCTATAGTATTGAAAACAGCCTGATAAAGGCATAAGAACAGACAAGAGGACCAATGGAACTGAATTGAAGACCCAGATATTAATCCACACACCTTCAAACACCTGATTTTTGACAAAGAAGCAAAAAATATCAAATGGAAAAAATGTTTTCCTTTATAAGAGTTGCCGTGGTCATGGTGTCTCTTCACAGCAGTAGAAACCCGACCTAAGGTGGATATTGCTGCACCAGACTTTTATATGGGGGTTGAGGATGTAAGCTCAGGTTGGCATGCTTGCTCAGTAGACATCTTATCAACTGAACCATCTCCCCAGGTGTATTTTGAGACCATACATCCTCATCTCATACCCAAGAGCTGCAAGAGACAAGGAGGATTCCTCTTCATAGGTTCTAGAGCAAGGCAGAGAAGATCCCTTCCTCATGCTCCAGGAAGAACCTGGTCTTCCTGAAACCTTGAGTTTGAAGCTCTGGCTTCTAGATTATGAGAGGATGTGTTTCTGTTCTAAAATAGCCACCAGTGGGGTCCTAGTTTGCTTTCAATTGCTGAGATAAAGACTGTGACCAAAAGCAACTAGGGAATGAACGGGTTTATTTGACGTAATGATCCCAATCACAGCCTATCACTGAGGGCATCCAAAGCAGGAGCTCAAGCAGGGCAGGAACCTGGAGGCAGGAGCTGAAGCAGAAGTTTGTTACTGTGACTCATGTTTAGTTTCCTTTCTTATACCAACCAGGGCTACCTGCCCAGGGACGGCACTGCCCACTGTGGCTGGGTCCTCTCACATTTATCATTAATGAAGAAAATGCCCTACAGACTTGCCTCCAGACAATCTAATGGAGTTACTCTCTCAATTAAGATGCTCTCTTCTCAAATGACTCTAATTTGTGTTAACAAAAACCAAACCAGAGGGAGGGAGAGTGGGAGGGGAGAGAGAGAGAGAGAGAGAGAGAGAGAGAGAGAGAGAGAGCGCTAACCGTCATTCATGGCGACCATTGGGCTTCCACTAATGTGGTTCCTAGAGAACTCAGCTACCCCAGCACTCAGCCTGTGGTGCAGGAACTCAGGCAAGTGAATTGGATTAGAGAGGGTGGGTGTGTCCAACAAGGGCTCGCTCAGTGTTTCCAAGCAGAGATGACCCCTAAGCACAAGAGAGCTACTTCCTCAAGCTTGTCTTCTCATCTGTGAGACAGGAGGCACCAGAGGGTCACCTGTACCTGAAGGTGCCAAGGACACCAGCAGTGGGAATTGTAAGGAACCCAGCCATTTGAACATGGAAGCTTTGGGCGTGAGAATAAGATAACTGTCCTCTTCAACACATGCTCCTGTGACTTACAAATTCTCTAGACCTATTTATAGTCAGGAAAAAAAAAGGGGGGGAAACCTAATATGGTAAGGTTTGAAATCTGACACGTAGAAGGTTATTCTGCATTTGAGCAAATAGTGGAGGCTATAAGGAGAGGCTGTGGGAGATGTGCAGGATGAGGCTTCCATGTTAGAACTGTGAGCTGTTTCGTTTACAGGGCAGGGTGAATTATAAACCCACAGAGAAAAGCAAGCCAGGTAATTTACTCAGCTCACAATCACTAAGTCCCCGCTGCTAGCCCGCTGGAGGAAGATGCAATTATTAATCGACTGGGACTCAGCCCTCTAGGGTAGTCAGATATTTCTGTAAACCAGGGCCTTCCGCTCCCACCCTAGTGGATCTGACCATGCACGCCTTATTTTGCTAGATGCTCCTTTAAGAAGAGAAAACAGGAATGTTTCAGACAAGCTCTCCAGGAAACCTTTGTCTTTCGCACCACCCCCACCCCACCAGCTAGCATCTGGAGCTTTACACAGGTGGGGAGCAAATGCTTAGTTATTGCTCGCTGATCAGCATTCACGGGGAGAAACAGAGTGAAGATGCTCCTGAAGTCATCCTGGAAGAGAGGATTAAAGCTCCTAGAGATGCTGCAGTGCATCTAAGGGAGTATCTCAAATCAACTCACATCCCGCTGTCCTTGCTCCGGACTCCCAAGCCCAGCCCACATCTGCTCCTCGGGCCTTGGGGTGCTTCAGGATACTGTGTCGACATTTTGGAAAGAGTTACTTGATGGTGAAGGACGTTGGCTCAGTAATTTCCTCCCAGCTGAAACATTTCATTCTTGAGGGGGAAAGGCTGTTAAAGGAAAGGAAGTAAATGAAGTAAATGAACCAGACTCAGAAATTTGCAAGTGTCCAGAAGTTGTTGAAACTAACAAGACTCCCAAGGCCACTTCCCCAAGGTTGTATGCCGGTCATAGTTGCTGGGGAAGAAGACTCTCCAGTCAGCCGAGTTGCCTTGTTGGAAGTGTTCCGGGTAAATAGTTCTGGTGACTCGTAACCCATGCTGGAGTGGGCCTTTTGGTGACACAGCTGCCTTTGTGTCCTCCATGCTCCTGTAAGTAGCCTCTCACCTGTAATACTGCAAGTAACCTGGTAAACCCACTAGTTTGCTAAGTGAGTAGCATAGGTTGTTAGGTCTGTCATGGGTACTCTGACTGGGGTGAATAGACATGTGTTCATGTCTTCCCAGGAAAAGAATCACAACCCACCTGGCACCCGAACAAGGACTGATAGGATTAAAGATGAGCCGGGAGGGGTTGTTGCCTGGCTCCTGCAATGGGTGGGTGTCGAGTTATGTAACTGAAGTTGATCTGTGTGAGTATAGACTGCCTGTGTAGGCGAATTCTGATACGGCTACTTTTCCTGGTGTAGTATGGCCTGATGTTGTGACTCCTTGGTGTAGTGCTGGCTGCATGCTGCCTAAGATGGGTTCTAGGATCTGCAGCCAATGATGTGCTAAGCATGGAGCATCCTTGGGGAGAATTCTATGGTGGCCATATTCTTCTATCTGGTATGGTGCGGTGTGCCTTCTTGATGGATGGCACCCAGTCCATGAGCACGGGCATGACCCGAACTACTGATGGACTAGAGGGTGTACTGCAGTTCCTGACAGTAGAACACACTGGTTGGGATTGTAAGCGGTCTATGACAGCTTTTTCATGGCTTTGGTTGTTGCTAATAAGGCATGAGGTGGAGACTTAGCTATCCGTCTCCAAAGAATGTGCTTTGTGCATTTACTCCTTGTAAATACAATGGGAGAAGTACATATGGATGCCATAGCCTACGCCAGCCGATGGTTTGGAAAGAAAGGTAAGAAAGGGGGAGAAGGGGATGGAGATGTTGGCTTGCAATTATTTACAACAGACAGAATATAAGTGAAAGAGTGAAGGTTAGATCTGTGCTGGAGCCTTTCCCATGATCCATGAACTCAGAACCCATGGGAAGAACCTGACAGCAAGGAGGAAGAGAACTTGGTAGAAGAGTTTAACCTTTCCTTGCCTTTTTCCTGTTTCATCAAGACAGAATTTCTCTAGACTGGCCTTGAACTCACAGAAATCCACCTACCTCGGCCTGCCTAGTGCTGGGATTAAAGGCGTGCACCGTCATGCCAGGTTAGGCTTAACCTTTGTACTAGTTATTTTTCTGCTTCTGTGATGAAATGCCATGACCCAAAGCAATTTTTTTGTCAGAATTTATATTCACTCCTAGATCCAGACAGGTAAGAGTCTATCACATTGCGGAGGCAAGGCAGGAAGCAGCGGACAAGACTACCAGGGCAGGAAGCTGAGCGCTCACATCTGGAATCACACCCACAAAGCAGAGAAAGAATGGAAGCAGAGAGAAACTATAAGCACTGAAAACCCACCCTCATCCTGATGATGCTCTCCCTCCAAGAAGACTCACCTCTCAAAGGTTTCGCAACCTCCCCAAACAGTGTCGCCAACTGGGGAACGCATGTCCAAGTAGCTGAGCCTCTCAGGGATGCTCTTAGCTAAAACATTATACCCTTTGAAGAAGAAGAAGGGAAAATCCAGCATTCAGATAGAAGGCCCAACATGCTGGGGAGAGATGCCCTCCATCCCCCCATCCCTGTCCCTCACTGCCCATGGCAGGTAGGAGAGCTGGCTCAGAAGTCATAAGAGTGAGAGAGCTGTCCTTGCCCCCCCACCAGCTGCACCGCTAGGGAGGGCAGCCCCTGCACCTCACCTGGGCAACACAATAGAGCTGACCCTGATGGTCTAGGTGAGGGAGAGCCCACCCTCAGGCCATAAAAATGGGAGTACTGGCCTGACCATTGCTCCTCGCTGCAAGGGGTGAACTAGCAGAGCAGTGCTGGAGAGCTCACCCTGGTGTGGAGGATAAAGGAGAGCTGGCAGGCTGACCAATCTAACAACTACCCAGACCCAGAACCAGGGTTTGGAGTTGGCCTACCCCAACTCCCACCCTGTCCATGATCTGTGAGAGCCATGAAGGGGCCAATCCTGCAGACCCAAGGCTGCAAGATCTCCATGACACAGGACAATGACCGGATATTCAGCAGGAGTCCCAATGAGGGCCCAATAGTGATAGTGTAGCTGAAACCAGTGGCCTTGAGCCAGTGTTCTTTGCAATGAATGCTTGCAAGTAAAATACATGAATGAAAGGGTTCACTGTATGACTCACTGAGATTCCATGACAAGATTTTTCATTTTCTTTTTTTCTCTTAAATTTTACTTATGTATTTATGGGGGACATGTTGCAAAGGCAGAGGGTCGATACAAAAAGTCAGGCAAATGAATGGGACTGAGGTGCATGATGTGAAGGCCATAAAAAAATAAATAAAAAGAAAGTTTAAAATCAAAATAATGGCCCCACATAGGAAACTATTATAGTCAGGAAGTATTCTGTCTCTAAACTACTTGAGTTGAGAAGAACTTTAAAGCAAGATGTGAAAGATCTTCTCCCAGTCTGGCTCACGAGGCTGTGGAAATGGCAGATGGAGTGGGAACTGGCTGAGTGCTGTGGAAGTCAAGAAACTGATGAATAAACCCCCCATCCCTTCTTGAGGCAAAAGATGAACAACCTGAGGCAACATGAGGAGAAGCAGTCCCTTGTGGACTGGCTTATAAAAGCTATTAGGGTCACTTGGTTATTGCTGGCTAATGTGCCTGTGACTATCAGGGACCAGAAGATGGCAGACGCAGGAGGGGCGTTTCTAAGGGGATTGGTCATAAGGGAGGCAGTGTTTGATGCCCAGTTCCCTGGGACAGGTAGGACTGATTTTACAGGAGACCTAAAACAGAGGTTGATTCAGCAGGAACCTCAGATATCGTAGAGGGGTGTTCATGGTTTGGCTGAGCCTCATGGCAGCTCAGCAGCTTTATGAGGTAGGAGAGTTTCTAGTCAATCTGAATGACTGATATACAAACCAGGGCCATGAAGTGCAAAAGCAATCAAAAGGTGATGGAAACAGACAAAGAAGACACAGATGCTGTTTGGGCTACTCAAAGATAAATGTGACAAGGATTGGATCTAGTTGGAGTCCCCAGGGAAGACCTGGTAAAAAGTCCAATGCTGTACTAGTGAGCTTCTGGAAGACTTTCAAATCTGAGCAGTAGTTCACAGTACTACTATCATACATCCTAAATAGATTAGACTTGACCAGAGATGGGGATATGAAGTTTTCTAGTGGTAAGATTGTTCTACCATCTCAGAGATCTGTCAGAAGTCCTCCAGCGACAGTCCACCAGCTCAGAGTCTCTAGTGACAGGCACTGAAAGACGAGCTAGGCACCAATCAGTCCCACTGAGACCACCACGATGTGAGATACACAGCGGTACTGTGGCAGCATCGTTACCCCAGCATGAGGAGGCCCGTGGTTATGGACAATCTGTGGAAAACTAAATAAGATGGTAGTCCTCATATATGCTGATACTGAAAATGCTGAGCTTCTGATGAAAGAATTGCTCACAGTTATGAGATCTTTTTACAGTGTATTGGACCTTGATAGTAGGTTGGTTTTAAAATTTGTTTTTGTTGTTGTGTTTTAACTGTCCAAGACCAAGCTGGCACTTGGGCTGGGTTGGCAGTGATTCAACCCAGAATCAGAATCAACCCAGAATTCAGAGATCCTACCCACCATCTGTTAAAAGGTGTTGTTATATAATGCTAACTCTTGAGTGTCTTTCAGACATGGAGAAGCTTTTGAAAGAACAATGAAGGTAACAGGTAAGTTGTCTGAATAAAGACACCCATCACAAGTGGGAAAATGTAACATGAGGGCCAGCTTGTTGGGGTTTCCGTCCCGCCCGGTACCCCAACAGCCGGCAAATCCCAAAGAGAAATTACACACAGGACTCCATAAGGTTATAAACTGATTGGCCCTTAGCTCTGGCTACTTATTAGCTCTTATAACTTATGTTACCCCATTATTCTTATCTACGTTAGCCACATGGGCTCAGTACCTTTCTCAGTATGACAGCTTACATGTTGCCTCTTCGGTGGTCTGGACAGGAATGGCTGAGAGAGAGCTTCTGCTTCCAGAATACTCCCAGTCTCTTTGCTCCACCCCTACTTCCTGTCTGGCTTTCCCGCCTATACTGCCTGCCTGGCCAATCAGCGTTTTATTAAAATATGATTGACAGAATACAGATAATTCTCCCGCACCAGGAAAAGTCCACTCGGAGCCTTATAGTTGTTGAGGGAAAAATTCCAGGACCAGGGTATGTTCGTTCCTTACGAGTTATTGGCCAGGAAGGCCCTCAAGCCCCTCAAATCATGAAAGCCATGGCCAGTGCTGTCAGCGAATGTCAAAACTAGACAGCGTGTCCCTACTTTTGAAGGCACTGAATGCATTGGTTACAGGACATGAGGGAACCAGGTTCGGACTGAACTGTAAATTCTTCTCCCTTCTGGATGTTTTTCACAGTGCTAGAAAGTATTATATGGGCTTCTAGGAGTGGGGTTGTCACTAGCAGTCCTGTCCAGGCATGGAACCTGAATGCTACATGCCAGGTAAGATGTGCCCATAGTTGCAATTGTGGCATAGTTGTTATAGATACAACCTGTGCCGCAGGTAGAACCTTACGTTTGGTACTGTAAGGCAGCTCAAAAGCCCATAGACTTCAATATGGAGGCTAATGCTATTGTTTTGTTAAATGGATGTGATGTGCTTGTCAAAATGCCTTCTGGCCATTTCTGTTTAAGCCTGTAGATCACCATTGCTCTTGGCCTCAGTTGGTTATGGAAGGAAATTTTTTTTTCTTTTGCAGTGAGAGGTATACTGCAGAGATTCATAACTGGTCCAGCTCCTGAGACTAAGTGACTTGCCATGGTCAGACATCCATAGCAACCTCCATCCCCAAGGCTCAGGAAACATCACAGGAGAGGTTTCAGAAAGAACTGGAGAAATGGATGGTTGTTTTTTGTAGCTCTTCCTTCCAAGCTGGAACGTTCCATAATGGGAAGAGCTTTGCCAATACTCGGGAAGTAAAAAAACCTCACAAGACTCTGGAAGTTCCTGAAATTAGCAAGATTCACAAGGCTCCTTCCCCGGGGGGTGTAACAGCAAGGAGTTCTGAGAAGAGGCCTTCCAGCTGTCAGAGCTGCTCGCCCAGGTCCCACATCTGGAAAAACAGACTTCGTTCACGTCTCTGTAGAATGAGCCATATGGTATGGTGGCAGTGTTCGCTTTGCAAATGTCTGCCAAGCTCAGTACCTTGCTGGACACACTCTTCAGGGTTTTTTGTTTGCTGGTTTGCCCTTGTCTTAGCTCCAGTTATGTAGGTGCCGTCTCCTGCAGGGGGTGCCAGTCCACGTTCTCATCTGTATAGAAGAGATGACTCTAAAAAATGGAGGGATTGCCTTTCAAAAGGCGCTGAGAGATTTCTCTGCTGGTAAAGGAACCAGGTTGGAGAGAGTAAAATGATCTGTCCTACCCAAAGAGAGACACGGGGAGAAGAGGATATGTCTTTAGGGGAAAAGCCAGTCTTCTCCTCTGGTGGCCCAGAGAAGCAATAACTAGAGTGGTCACCTAGGATGGAATGTGGGCAACCTGGTGGAGAAGCTGGCTCTAGTGCACTCAGACACTTTGGGTGATTATGTTTGAAAAAAAAAAAAGAAAGAAAGAAAGAAAGAAAAAGATTTTTTACAAGCCAAAAGTAGGAGGGCTATTGTACAATTAAAAAAAAAATACTGATTGGTTGCCAGTGAACCTTGTTTAAAACAAATACCCAAAAGGGCATGTGGGGACAATGAAGGGAACGTAAAATAGTTGGGGCTGTCATGGTAGGAAGAAAATAACTAATTGGCCAGGCCAGCTGGCTTGATTTTCTTAAGAGCTATAACAAAAAAATAAAAAAATAAAAGCAAAACCTAGAGCCTTCATTCTTGGGAAATGGATCAAGTTCTACAGTGTCTGTAACTTGTAACTGTCCTTCAATTGAATCAAAAGACAATTTCCATTCCTCTTTATACTTGAAAGTTTTAATATCAAAGTTAGGAAATAAGAAAGAAGGAGAAAGAAAAGGCCCACCTGGGATTCTAAGCAGACATCTGGGCTCCCCCAAAGCTCTCCAGTTTTCTGCTTTGCGGTAAACACCACACTCAACTTGTCTTGTAGGTGCAGGTCTTGGTCTCACAGCTGCTGCTGTCCTTGGCAATTGTCCCATTGTACTGGCATCTCCAGTGTACTGGCATCTCCGCTGCACCGGGACTGTGCCTTCACCAATATCCTCCCCTGGTATCTCTTTAGGGAGTCTAATTCTGCTACATGGGTGCCAACCCTCTATGTCTCTCTATGACCCCTTCAATCCTGGGGTTTCCAATGCATCTGAGGCCGTGCCTTCACTAATGGTGTCTTCCGTCCCTTCACAGTGCCCAGCTGCAGCTGCTCTCTATGACCCCTTTATGCCTTCAAAGCAAGTGCTGAGAAACTCTTCCACATCACACGTTCAGCTTCCAGCACACGCTACGTCCTTGGCCCCTCCACCACCGCTTCTCTGTGCTGACCCTGAGGAAATACTTCACAGAGGATGTTGCCTCACCGATGCTGATCTCTTTTAGCCACAGCTTCTTTTCAGCCCTAGTTGTCCAGTGTTGACTGTCTCAGAAAAGCAAATGTTTCACTTCTGTGGTATGTAATTCAAAGTATCACACACATGGCCCTGATAGAATTTTTGAGAGACTCTTAAACTTCTCTCTGAACCGTTATAAGCCAGGCCAATATCATTGGCATTGCTTTGAGCCTTTTCTGAGAAGTTCCCATTGCAGCTCCTGGAGCTTCAAGCATCGATGTCTTCTTCCAACCAAAGTTCCAATCACGTCCATGATCTGCCTCCGGACAACATGGTCAGGTCTGTCATAGCAAAACCTCATGAATCCAAAACCCAATTCTGTCTTAGGTTTCTGTTTCTGTGGAGAAATGCCACAACTAAGAGCAACTTGGTGGGGACTGGAGAGAAAGGGTTATGTAAACTTCCAGGTAACAGTCCATCACTGAGGGAAGACAGGGCAGGGACTGAAGTAGAGGCCATGGAGGAACACAATTTACTGGCTTACTCATTCTGGCTTGCTCAACCTGCTTTCTTACACCATCCAGAACCAGGAATGGGACTGCCACCCTTCAGGACCCCCACCCTCACCCCTCCCAATGAGCTGGGCTTTCTCACATCCATCATTAATCACAAAATGCCCCACAGGACTTGCCTACAGTCAAATCTGATGGAAGCATTTTCTCAATTGAGAGTCCCTCTTCCCAAATGACTCCAACTTTTGTCAAGTTGAAGAAAAACTAACTAGTGTAAGGAACAAGGCTGAAGGGAGGGGAAAGGCAGAGGATCTGTCTGGGCAGTGAGGGACTGTCCTTGAGGGTAGAGGCTGTTGGGTTGCTTCTCAGTTGCTGAGTACAGGCCCTGGTTTACTGTAGCGGCTTCTTGGTCTTCCTCAACCAACATGCTTTCATGGACTGGAGCTCCTATCACTTCCTTACCAGAGGGAGGACATTGAGCCCCTGCATAGTGCTACTCCTATGGAAGGCATGTGACCAGAGCAGGGCCAGGGAGAGAGACCCTTGCGGATTGGAGCCACATGCAGGGAGAGATTTTCTCCTTCTTCATACTGGAAATGAAGATGAGGCTGTGGACTTCCAGGTTGTTTCCTGCCTGGTGGGCAGAACAGGACGGAATGATACAGAAAAGTGATCTCTGCCCGCATTCCATAGCAAACAGTCCCTAAAAACCTTAGCGTCTCCAAAGTGAAGCATCTGTGTACGTCGGTGAGCTGACTGATTGCTATTGTGAGTGTCCAGCTGCAGGATGGGGGAATCAACTATGAGATGGCTAGGATTGAAATTTTCAGCCTTACCTGTGGATGTTTGGAGAGGAAGAATGAGACGATGTTTTAATTGGTCACCAATAATCAATGATTTGAATACCTCAGTGGGTGGAACTTAGGCTTCTATATTAGTAAACAAAACCACATTCAGCTGGTGGGTTGGTAGTGCACCCCAAATCTTCAGAAGGTTGGAAGTATCAGTGCTTTGGGACCTTACTAAACCTCTGTGTATCTCCTTCTGAGGCTGTTAAACTGTGTCCTTTGATGGCCTTTGTAATGAACTGCTAACCCACCAAGGCAACTTTCTGGAGGTTTCTGAGGTGTTCTTAACAATGGTAGAAGCTTAGACCAGGGTTACAAGAAGGTCTGGTTTGCTGCTATGTCTAGCAGAAGTTGTGGGTGTCTTGGGGACTTCCTGCAGCTGGCATCTGAAGCAGAGACAGTCTTTGGTAACAGTATCAGGACTCCGTGACACTGTCGGACACCCAGCTGCTGTCAGTTTCGGCTAGTGTGGGAAATCCCTCCCCTTTGGGTGACTGAAAGTTTCCTCTGTGGAGTGTGAACTGGATAGTTGATTTGGCCTTCTTCTTGTTCTCCACAAAAAGGGAACCAAGATTGGGTTAGGGTCTAAGAGGATAGTGGCAAGCTATAGAAGCAGAGCACCGGAAGAGGTCAAGACTCCCTGGGAGCTGCAAAGGGGCCTTGCAGCAAGCTGTGTTTGGAGGACAGGAACTACAGCTAGAAGAGCCCCAGGGCTAGAGTGCTGTCCTTGGGGAGCCTTGCGTTTTCTCTGGTGAGCAACTGGAGATTCCACCTTCAGTGAGAATGTGCCTGATCTGGCTTATCACCTCGGAGTGGGTTCAAAGACGACAGGTTTTCCTTTTTGAATTTTTAAATTTGATTTATTGTTTTCGCTCTTCCCCCGGGACGTGGCACTGTGAAAGCACACTGGACAGGATGTTTTGAGGCACTAGGAAGCTGCTGAGTTTTTCAGAGCCAGAAAACGACAGGATCCCCTTCCCATTGCAGAGAAGACACCGTGCTGGGGCCTGAGCAGGTGCCCGCGGGGGCTGCAGGAAGAGAACAGAGGGAGGTAGCTCTAGGAGTCCTGGCAGCAGCCTCCCAGGACCCGAATTCAAGCAGTGACAGGTCTGGTGTGGAGATGTACAGGAGGGAGCTATTTCGGGGACAGGATCCCTAGGACTTGGTGACAGATTGGCTGTGGGGAGGAGAGGGAGGTGAGGAACGTGCTGCTGGGTTTCTGGCTGGGGTTAGGTGGTGCGTGGAGATAGGGAGATTCCAGGAAGGGGGGGGTGGTCTGGCACATATCCACCGTACGCTGACAGTATTAGCATGTATGTGTGTCAAGTGTGATCAGAACCCCTGCTCCACTCCTGGCTCTCGAGCATGGCCATTTAACAGCGGGCACTCCAGTGGTGGCTAGCGGGGACGGCTCTGGGCTCAGGTCCAGGGCTGCAGGGTGGCTCTGACGGAGCCTCTGGCCCTGTCTGTGACACCAAGTCCTGAGAGATCATCTCAGGACCTTCCAGACAGAGGTTGTGTTTAGGCAGCCCGCTGAGACCCCCTGCTCTTAAAGGAGAAACACAATTTATTTTTAAATCTTTCTGGAGTTTTGGGTTTCCTTTTAGTCCCAAATGGCCTTTTAAGCTTCTGGCTCCTATATTTAACCTATTTAATGAGATTTCTTTTCCAGTAATTCCTGAAACTGGTAATCTCTAATTGGGTCAAATTCTCTACCCACAAGCCAGCGATGCTATTTTTAGCACAAATCCTCAGGCTGAAGCTCCTTGGGCCTTTCAAGCGCAGCTGTCAGCGCCGACTCTCACCACACTCCGCTCTCCGGAGCCAGACCTGATTTTCCATATTTTCCCTATTCACTTCAGGACCAGCCTGCCCACCCAGCCCTCTACCCTCCTCCCCATTGGCAGCTCCGGCGTGGTTTACACAAATCCATTTAGCGTTCATCAGCTTAGGTCTCCAGGGTCACTATAAATAAATCGGGTCCTTCCTGGTGGCTTTGGGGAAGTACCTATTTGCTAGTGAAGAGGAATCACCTGGGTGCAGGCAGGCAGGGGCACATACTGACCCCAACGGTCACTAGGGGGATTTAGAGAATCCCTTTCTGCCGTCCTCATTCAGCCAGGGGACGTGGCTGGTCTTAGGATGTTCCTGTCCTGCCCTCCACTCTCCCACATGCCTCCTGGTGGAAGAGGCCCTTCTTTCTTCTTTGGATCCATGAGGGTCTAGTAACCTCAGAGGTTTCCTGTCTCCTGCCCTCCTGTCCCCAGGTCAAGTGCAGGAGTGATCTCCTGGGAGCGGGGTGGGGCTCTTTACTTTTGTAACCCCAGAAAGCACACAGTATGCCTCAGGGAAAGACGAGGACATTTCTTACAGGGGCTTCTGCTGAGAAGATCTTGCCCCTCCCATTGTTTGAAGAATACACATCTCATTTCATCTGGGGGAAGAGACAAGGAAGTCACTGCCCACAGGTAGAGCCAGTGCGCTGTGGATGCCCAGCTTCTGGAGTCTCCCTGCCCTTTGCAATCACAAGGCAATTTGAGACTAACCAATACCAGTTCTCTTTCCTTCAAAGCAAGGATGTTGACAGAGGAGGGCAGCGTGGGACCTCCTGAGGTTTGATGCTTCCAGTCCAGGTTCTTTGTCTAAAGTCTCCATCTTTACAAGGCAAAATGTACCTTTCCCACGATGAGATTCTATTCTAGAAGGGTCTGTTTTTCTTCTTGTGCTTACAGAACACCTAAAAGAAAGAAACCTGGTCCAGCATCAAATGTGCCTTTCAAGTTTTGAGTCCTGAGTTCTAGTTTGCCGACTTGTAGAACATGTGGCCTGCTGATTCCCACAAATAAACACACCCTATCCTTTCCTTACCGGTCACCTGGGCCAGCCTCTCTGTGAGGATGATTTCACGTGTCATCTTGGCGGGACCACAGTGCCTAGAAAAGTAACCTGATATTATTTTGAGTCTACATCTACAAGGATGATTTGGGGGTGGAATTTACATTCACACCAGCGGCTTCTGAGTCAAACAGATCGTTCTCTGTAATGTGACTAGCCCTCATTCAATTTGTTAAGCCTCTTCAACCAGCTAAGCCTGGATAGAAAAGGCAAAAAAGACTGGCCTCCATCCAGGAATAAAGACCTCTCTAGCCATCAGATTTGTCCTACAGTATAAGCTCTTCTCTGGGTCTCTAGCGGCCCATTAGTTATGCAGATTCTGAACTTAACAGCCTCCATTGTTGCATGAACGGAACACGACTTTCGTCATGAGCGTACTCCCTTTTTCTCTCCCCCATCTCCCTCTCCTTCCCTCTCCTCCCCCCTCCCTTCTTTCTAGGCAATACACATATTCTCTTGCTTCTGTTTCTCTGGAAAGTTCCTGACTCATACTCCTCTCCTTCCAGTGAACTTCCGATACCGCCACATACTGGCTTTCTTCAGAGGGTAGGCAGGGATGGAAGGAAGCAGGGCAGGTGCAGTTTGGACGCCAACGTTCCGGGCTGCATTCATCAGGGGAGGAGCCTGGAGACAGTTGCTT